AACTTATTATAGAAAATCAATATCAAGAAAATTTTATTCAGGTGTGAAAGCAGCAAATTGAATAAGGAAACACAAGAGTATGGGCTGGATCTGCAAAATCACGAAACTTTTTTTGTCAGAATCAGATCAGAATTTTATAAGACGTTCATACGAAATTGGTAAGAAACTGATAAGATTCTTATAAGTTATTCATAAGAAAGTGATAAGACGGCTTATTACTTTCTTATGAATATCTTATAAGTTTCTTATCAGAATCTTATCGGAACCAGTGAATTTCTTGTCACTTCCGTGCAACATCTTATATAAGAATCTTGTCAGAAACTTATAAAAAGCTGATAAGTATTTTGTATGTTTCTTGTGAGTGCCTTGTAAGATCCTTATATAAGAATCGATGTCTAGGGCCTAACCGATGTTTGTGCAGGACACGATCGCTTTTCCTAGACAGTCAGTCACGTCTAAAAGATGTGTTTTTCGTTTTACTGATCATACGTAGATACTTCTTTTCGCTGAGCAGTTCAGAAGACTTTGCTCCAGAAGTATGAATAAACTCTTAAGAAGCACAATCTCAAAGTTTCCGCTTGTTCACATTTCAGCTGCTCTAAATGCAAATCAGTTCATTTTTTGCGAAACGTATCGGTCTACTCGAGGGCTCGCGATTACAATTACAAAATGTAAAGTTCAAACACAGCTTTTATTCCTAAAATTCTGAATTCTAGGAATAATAGCAATGTTTAAACTTTATATTTTGTAATTGTAATCGCGCATCTCTGGTTCAATATTTTCCTGTAAGGAACTAAAGACAGTTCATTCCATGTTAAAGAAAAGTTCAAGTCAAATTGTATTGACGAACATATACAGATATTTTCGATTTCGTTTTCCTTCTTCTTTTTCTCGTATAAAAAAAGGCAATAGAAAATTATTTTTCGACTTTGACTTTCATTCATTTTTGAATATGAATAAAAATAAATCGTTCATACACGACGTCTCCGGTCCAAATCGCAAAGAATGAGAGAGAGAGAGAGCAATCTATATATAAACCATCAGATTATCTGAACACTCATTCAGTTTAAATCATCACAAAAAAATGAATCTCATTTTTGTTATCTTGCTTACTGTCCAAGTTATTGCCTCGTCATCTTCTTTGCCAGTTTTCCATGGAGCTGCCAATAATGGTACAAATTCAATGCAACTAGAGGCAATCCTCAAATATGATGTACAACAACATTTATTTGTCAATAATAAAACTAATTCAACGCTGATTTTCCAAGAAATGGTTCATTATGGTGAAGTCAGTTTTTATCAAGTTGTGAATTATGATATGAAAAAATTTATTGAACTAACGGAAAATCGAAATGATGGTCTCTCTGCTATTTTAATGGAAGGTGCTAGGTATCCTGATGATGACAGTCATGAAACACCAGCGGATAGTGTTCCGAAGAAGTATTGTAATAAAACTTGTCTAAACAGTCGCATATTACATTATTTACGTTCAAGTGATACACAAACAGTTGAATATGAAGATGGAATTGACATACAGCAGTTGTATACCTTAGAAGCTAAAGCCACTGGTAAGTGTCGTTGAAGTCTGTAACATGAAACAATTAAGAGTCCCTATCACTAGGTATACGACGAGTCGTGCTTGCCGCTTGTCGAGTCAAGGTCGCAACTCTTACGAGGGAACCTCTCGCGGTGATTAAAAGCTTTTCGACTCAGACTATTTTCATCATGTAGGGAATAGTCAGTAGTGAAAACCCCAAGTTGGTTTGGGCCCATGCGCCTTTTTAACGGAGATATGAGTTAATTAATGAAAATGC